TTCCAGACTCACTTTGAGATGAATGGCATATTTGGAATTTCAGGTGACAGGAATAGTTCGAGGCACAATTAAGATCCTTTAGATTCTTTATTTGGTCATAAACTATTCATACATTAAAAAATCCATTTCTAGCTCTAAATTTACTCATAAAATACTTTGACGCATGTAAAAGTGAGTACATGTGGTACATATTAAAACTACATCAATTTTAATAATGCTAGTAATGCCTAGAATCAAAATGTAAGTATCATTGGTGTCAATAATAGTATGTCGACTTTTTATGGTTCTCCATAACAAACTCGTACATTTTCGCAATTAATTTTTCTTTTCAGTACACAGCTTATTTTTCATTTCAATTAGTACCTATCAGCAAAATTAATTAATCATCATTTAATTTTATAACCGTCGTTGAACAGCGGACCCAATTTTTTGGGTTTATGACTATTAATGTTCACCTCCGTAGCCTTGTAATTTTGAACTCAATCCAAAAGACAAGGGAACTCCCGGATCAAGTATTGGAAGAAATTTTGCCTTCGTAGAGGACTTTTTCATAGAACTAACCCGCATTTGCGTTACATGGAATGGGGAACTACGAAACATCCCACAATTAGACAGACGGTGAGGGGACTCGAACCCATGATTCGTCTACTAATAAGTTAACACTGCGGTCGGTGCAAGCTGGTTGCGGAATTCGTATCTACCAGCCATCGCTGGATTCGAACCCGGCTCAAATCATTGGAAGGCGAACTCTCTAATGCCTTGAGCCATCAATGCATAGAGCTCGACCATCAATACGGAGGGGTGCAATTATTCTTGTTTTCCAGTGGCGCCATCTATGGACAAGAATTCAACTTCTGCCACACGCATACGCCATACCCGTTTATAGGGCGGACCCATTCATACATGCATTCATTCATCCACAGATCGTAATTTTGATCCAATTCAGTACTCCTAGAGGTATTGATTTGTTATGAGAACATGTAAGACTTTGTGACCTGACAGATTTACCGTGCACCAGTCACCATTTATTACACGGGAAGTTTTCGGTCAGCTGGATTCGAACACCTGTTCTCACAAACGCGAGTTCATCGCCCTGCATACCAGGCTGTCCCGACCTTTAAATATAAGTAATACTAATAAATAAATCAGATTTTTATTAAACTTAAAATATAATAACAATTAATTATATGTACGCTTTATTTTAAATTATATCTTTGCAAATTTTTTCATAAATGTATTTCAACTTAATTTCTCATCTTTTACTTTTTTTAACTGTTTTTCAAGACATGTATCTGTACCATAATTTTAATTTTATAACGAAGTAAATCCGTTGAAAAGTTCAACTTCAATAACAAAACTTCCTCCATTTTCTTTTTCAAACAAAAGCTTTAATTCTGTTTGAGAAAGTTGTATCTCATTAAATATATGTAATTCTACTTTTATGAAAGATTATATTTTCTTGAGGTATTTCTTTTTTTCTTCTGAGATTCAATGATTGTAGGAATAGTATTATCTTTAAATTACATACAAACTCTAGAGCATTTTTACTGTGACTGAAGTATGGATTTTTGTTCGTAATTTAATTTAATTTAGTTTAATCAAAAGTGATTTAAGGAGCTTTGAAAAAAAAAGATTTTTTCTTTGGTTTGAATAAATTTTTGCTCACAGAAAACTATTTTGCTTTATTTTCCACATATTGAATTTACAAAATTTTAATAAAGACTTCTTTTAAAAAAGTTAAAAAATAAAATAGAAATGGCACGATCTACTTATAAATGTATTTTTTAATTTTGTAAAAATATATCAATTCTGCTAAAAATTAACAAAATCATTAATTGAAATCTTAATTTTAATCGCTTAGTTTTTGAAAAAAAAACATCATTGATTTTAAGTGATGAGCATCAATTATGGAGTATACAGTTAATAAACTGAATTTCACCTTTTCTGATATTAATAGCTAGAGTATTTATCAAGTTTCGTGCCAATGTAGTATTTCGTATAATTGGACAAAATAAACGTATCCTTAAACTTTGGCTTAAAGAACACGAAAGACGTGCTCAAAATAAGGACATTAGCCGATCTTCTATCATTATACACAGTTGGAAATCAAATTACAGATTTGATTTTTCTTCTACTGAAATCATTAAACGATGCTCTTCATCTTCCGAACTTGATTTTTGGGAATCTTTATACATTTTGAAACAGTCTAATAACTCAGCTAATGTTCTTCCCAGTATCACATTGTTTCCCAATATTTGGAAACACATTTTAATTTAACCTTCCAAATCCCCTTATCTCCCCATTTTTATTTCCTTGTTCAAACTTGTTCCTCCATCCCTATTGGTTAAACTGTTTTTCACGTGTTTGTCACTTTACTTCTCTACCTTTATTTGACATTTAGACACTGAGGAAGATTCCTTTTTATAGAATTGAAACTATAGTATGTCTATTTATGTATTTTCTTATTTATAAAACTGATTACAGAACTGATCTTATTTATAGAACTATAGATTCTTATTTATAGAACTAAAGATTCTTATTTATGGAATTGAAACTGTAGTATGTCTATTTATGTACTTTCATTTCTGCTTTATTCACGCTGGTTTTTGCTTTAGTATACAGTATCAGTATTTAGTATCATCTAAGTTAAACAAATATCATTGAGATAATGTGCCACGTTTTCAAAGAGATTTTAAGAAGCAGGATCTAAAATTATTTAATGAAAGCATTGTCAGATTGTATAATCGTTAATGAATAAAAAAACAGCTGACTATTTTAATAACAATGCATTTACAGCACTAAGTTATATAGACGTTATGTATCTTTTCTATGTCTTGAATTTATATTTACTCATTCAATGCATTTGCTTAGACTTGGGAGACATATTTCCTCTATTGCTTACACATCAAAAGTAAACATCAAAAAAATTATGAATTAAATTTGAGTTCAGTATGACATTGTTTGTACTTATGTTATCAATTAATTATCATTTAATAGTTCGTTTGCACTCTTTGTAATCTTTTCTTTAATTGATGCAAGAAAACATGAAAAAAATGAATTAATTCTGTCCTTTCTGTGAGAAAGTCTTTATATTTAAAGGGATATCTCAAAATAATCTAAATAAATACTTAATAACTTTAAAAAAAAAGAAACTTATGTCCATTTAATAATTTTATCTTAAGAAAATGCCTAAATTCTTAGAAAAAATGCCAAACACTGTCTGTGAAAATGCTTAATAGGAAGAAAAATAAACGCAATTACAACATTTGCACTTGTAATTTTAGTTGAAGTAAATAATCATTTTTGACAGTTATAAAATATAACCATCTAGTAAAAAGTATAAAAAATATAAGGATCTTTAGAAACTTCAGTGAAAATATTTTATTTACTTTTTATTTTTTTAAGGTGAGATAGTATATATATATAAATACCTGTGAAAAGAAATTGATAATTTTTTAAGCAAGTTTTCTAATAACAATATATTGAATAAATTAAGAAAGGATCATTTACTTATAAAACTATCATTATCATTTCGCTTTGCGATTTTCAGATCAAAACAAAATAAGATTTTCAAATTAGGTAATCAAGAAAAACAATTTTCAATGTTTCCTGAAAACAAATTTTAATGTTTAAAGTGATTCCTTTCAGTTTTTATTTCAAAGAAAACATATTTCTGATTATTTTATTCGTTTTCAGCTATAAGCATACATAACACCTTAACTAGACTACGTTAGTCTAGATTTAACTCCGTGAATTCAAATTTAACTGTAGGGCATAAAAACTAACCTAAGAAAGACTTTATTGAAGACAATAATATTTTTTCATGATATAATGATTAAAAATATAATTCTTCGAAATAAAATCTTTAAATTAGTAAATGCATTCGCAATTGTATCTTTATTTAGTTTATCTATGAAGTTGGGGCTCCGCCGGAAAAAGGTTAATCATTTAGGGTTTGGTTCCATGACAGAAATGAATTGAAAACCACTGATCTAGACATTATTATAATTATAATTAATAATTAAAACATTCTGATGGATCATATTTATAGTTTTCTTGATTTTCTATTTAAAATTCAGAATTTGGCTCGAATTTAGTTTAAAAAGATAGTTATATTAAAAGAAATAAACAAAATTTTAATTATTATGAGAAACAAGTCCTTCAAAATATCCCCTTAATCTGAATTCTTGCTGTTGTTTCTATTGCAACTTGCTACACCAGCAAGCCTGGTTGGTGAAATGAAGCAAATTTAAAGCAGAGGGTTCCTTTCTTGTTTTTCAGTGGCACTATATATGTCCAAAAATACGACTTCAGTCACACACACGCTTCAAAGCCACACACAACCGCTTTAAAGGGTGGACCCACTCATTAATCCATGCATTCATCCATAGATCGTAATTTAGACCTGAACCAGAGAACGATCTCTAATTCAATGACCCTAGAGGTATTGATTTGTAACCCCGACAAATTTAATGGGCACCAGTCACCAGTTACTACGCGGGGAGTCAGCCGATGGGGATCGAACTCACGACCTCTTTGACATGGGCCCAACGCCCAACCAACCCCCAGCCCTTTGGACCCCAGCTATTGACAAGCTCCATGTTTCAAGTCGCGGTGGCTCAGTGTATCGATATGTTCCAATGAGGTGAACCTGGTACGAATCTCAGCGTTACGAATTCTGCACCAGGCTCGCACTGACCACGATGCTGACGTAAAATATCCTCAGTGGTTGACGGATCACGGGTTAGAGTTCCCTTGCCGTCAAGCTAACCATGAGAGGTTTTCGTGGTTTTACTTGCAGCGAAAATGCAGATGAGTTCCATCAAAAAGTCCTCTACAAAGGCAAATTTCTCTCAATACTTGATCTAGGGTTCGGAGTTAAACATCAGTAGCCGTAAACTGTCGGTCGGCTGTTTAACGACCATGTTTTGAGTTTCTGCTCAAAATTTAGTCAATGAAGTGCTAAAATATGCGTTGTTTACTTTGTGTTTGTTTTCCAGCAATCCGAGTACTACTGAGAGGTAAGGCTCACGCAGAATGGAAAGTTGTAGTCAGCGGAGACAGAAGAACAGTCAAGGATGACCATGCCTTCATCGATGACAGAGCGGTCATTTGGGGAAAAGGTGATTTGCTTTTCATATTTCAACATGCATTACATATTTCTATGAATATTTGTGCTCACAAAAACTCCTAAATATGTTTTATTGTACTGGATTCAGAATCCCGTTTCAATAACAATAATCCTCTGACTAACAATGTAAAAAAAGGATTAAAAAATAAAGCAAGGCAGTCTTCGTCTGACCAATAGTTTAAGAATAGGGAATAGAATTATTTAAAGAGCATAAATATTGCTTAAAAACTACCATTTTATAACAGAAAAGCTAACAAGACTCCACTTTTCTAACAATATAAGAATAAATAGTTTTAATTCCACAATAAAAATGCAATAGCATAAATGGGGAATTTTAATAGTTATTTTAACATATACAGGATTCAGTTATTTTAACATTAAACAGGATTCAGAATCTAATTTCAGCAACAGTGTTTCATTAACTGATCATATAAGAATAAGGAATATGAAAGTTTAAGAAACAAATATTATTTAAAAAATTATCACTTTATAATAAAGTGAATAATTAGTACAAATATAATAATACGAGAATAAAGAATTTTATGCATTTAATAGAATAAATGGGGAATTTTATTAATAATTTCAAAGTGTGCATTTTTAACAAGATTCAGAATCTGATTTCTGTAAAATATTCCACTGATTAACGATATAAGAATGAGAAGAATATGGAAGTTTAAAATAAAACAGAAATATTACTTAAACATTATCATTTTATAATCAAATCAATAGTACCGTCATGTGGGGCTACTTTGTGCAGCGGGGGCTATTTTGTGCAAATTCAAATTTGGCACTTTTCAAGTGCTGCTATTCAGTATTATGTTTTCTTCACGTTAAAAATGTGTGGAATTTGAAGATAGAAGTCTCCTCTATTACTACAAATATTTTTTCGAATTTTAAAACAATCTCAGAGTGTGTTTTGTTTATCCAATGTCAACAACTTTCCGAGAACGTCGGACGTCGAAAAGTGTGCGTGGAAACTTTAGCTGTGAAATGCAAAGACGTTGATAAAACAATTGTCGTAAGTGCAAAACTTTTTATTTACATATTAATAAACAATTATATCATGTTAGGGTTAAAAAAATTTGAAAATTAATAACAAATAAACGGAAAATGAAAAAAAATGCGCAGTGGGGCTACTTTGTGCAAAGTTTCATTCGTTTCTTATTCGACAGAAAAATTCTCAGACGTTATAAAAAAAATACATGGAGCGAGAAATTATCGTGATTACACTTTAGAAAAGTTGCAACAATGTTTGCAAGCAGTTGCTGGTGGTATGTCGATTGCAGAAGCTTCTCTGAAGTACAAAATCCACAGAAATACTATCTCTAATAAAATTCACAAGAAACACGTGAAACGTGCTGGTAAACTATTATTTTTCTTCTACAAAGATTTTTCTAATGAATTAATCAAACGATTTAACACATAAAAATATATTTTATAGGACATCAGGTGATTTTGACAGAAACTGAAGAGCAAGTTCTGTCATGTTCCTTTAAGCATGTTATGTTCAAATTTATCTATATTATAAATGTTAATGAATAAGTAATAATTATTATTTTTTAAATTTCATCCATTTCAATGTTCAAAAATGTAAATGGTTTCCTTTTGTTTAAGCTCAAATGCTTTGAAATAAACATTCTTTTTAAAAAAAAATTCTTTATAAAAAATGGTATTTTAACGCTGAAAATTATTATCAAACTAATATCTTTACATATCTTGATGTTTTTGTTAATAAAAATGTCAACAAGTGACTTTTTTAGCAATTTTATATCAATATTTTACTAAAAGCATGATTATTTAACTGAATTCCTATCGCTGCACAAAGTTGCCCCACTTGGGGGCTACTTTGTGCAAGATATGTTTTGACTTATTATTTGTAAATATTACATACAAATAATGCCAATATTGATCAAATTCACACGTCTGAATCCTGTTATGAATATAATATTGATAAATTTTACTGAAGTTTGTATTAACATAGTTTTTTTACATGTCAAAGTTCAAAAACTGCGAAATCCTGCACAAAGTAGCCCCACATGACGGTAAACAAGATTTCACTAATCTAACACTGTGAGAATAAAGAATTCTAAATGTGCAATAGAATAAATGGATATTTTTAATAATAATTTTAAAGAACGTGTTGTTAAACAGGATACAGAATGTGATTCCAGTAACAGTAGTCAACTTCTAACAATATAAGAATAACGATAGTAATATTTAAAGAACATAAAATTATGGAACTTTCAGGCCATAATTTTATAATAGAATCAGCAATTAACAAGATTCTACAAACATGACAATATGATGATAAAGAATTATAAATATGCAGTAAAAAATAAATGCATAAAAAATTTAAAAATACGCGTTCTCAAACGGGATTCAAAATCCCATTTCAGTAATAGAATTCAACTGATTAACGATATAAGATCGAGAAATAGTAATATTTAAGGAACATAAAATTATGAAACATTCAAGCCATAATTTTATAATAGAATCAATCAATAACAGGTTATAAAAAATATTTAAAAATATGAGATTAGATAGTTTTATATATGCAATAAAATAAATAGAGAGTTTTAAGTTAACAAAATGTAGGAATGTAGATGTAGATAAAAGAATTAAGTCTATTATCAGACTAAATCTATTTATTACCGCATACGATAAATTTTCATTGTTTTTATTTGGTCTTAGTATATTCATAATTTTGAAATAGTTGTTTTCCATTTACAGTTTTACCTACAACAACAAAAGGAAAAAAAATTGTGCGTGTCTGTCTGTGTGTCTCTCTTATTTATTTATTTCGTTTTCTCTAGAACCGTTCGTGTTAGAAATTAGAGTAGCGGGTGAAACGGGCTATTTCAGTCCCTGTTCCAAAAGAATCATTCAAAATTTTGAATTAGTTGGTTCGAGAAGTATGTTTGAAAAATGAATTTCGCTCCTAGGTTTGGCATTGAGCATAGCTATACATTTAAACTGCAAACAATTCTGTTTTCTTTTAATTACATCAGGGTTTTTTTTTGTTTTGCTTATAGCTCTATGTCATTGGAAACGATTTTTTGCATATTCTTTAAAAGTTATATATATTTAATCCATACAACATGCAAGCATAGACAAAATGAATGAATTAGCTGGTAGATTTACTATCTGAAACTACGTGTTTGTTTTGTTTATACTTACCCTTGTTTCTTAAAGTTCATTGTAATTGAACTAAGGAAAAGTTAGTAGTTTCTAAAGTGAATAGGAAAAATTACTCAATCTTTGTATGTCTTGACTACAATGTGTTAGTTGGAATTAATAGCATTATTTTCTGTGCGAATTATATTGAATAAGTTAATCTTTCTTTTAATGGGTTAATCGTTTTTCTTCTTATTCTCATGATGAAGAGACGTGGTGGCTTAAGGGATAGAAGGCTTCCCTCTTTATGAGATGCCGCAGGTTCGAAAATCAACGATGGCTGATTGATACAATTCTTGCACCAAGCTCGTACCAATCCCAGTGCTTACGTAAAAATATCCTCAGTGGTAGACGGACCATGGGTTAGAGTCCCCTTACCGTCAAGCTAACCATGGGAGGTTTTCGTTGTCTTCCTCTTCGTGTAACGCAAAAGCGGATTAGTTCCATCAAAGAGTCTTCCGCGTAGGCAAAATGTTCGCAATACTTGATCCAGAAGTTTCCTAGTCTTCTGGGTTGGGCTCAAAATTTCAAAGCTACAGAGTTGAACACTGTTTCTCGTAAACACAACTGTTCAACTATGGTTATAAAGAAAAATCTCATAATGTAAAAATACTGGGAAAAGTGACAAATAGTAATAAAAAATTTAAGTCGTTTTATTTTTTAGCAGCTTTGATTAATTCTGTCGTTTCATTTTGTGTATTATTGCGTCAATTTATGCTTGTTTATTTATGATTTATAACTTTTTTTACCTCTTGTAATGTAAAACTACTGGGAAAAGTGACAAATAGTAATAAAAAATTTAAGTCGTTTTATTTTTTAGCAGCTTTGATTAATTCTGTCGTTTCATTTTGTGTATTATTGCGTCAATTTATGCTTGTTTATTTATGATTTATAACTTTTTTTACCTCTTGTAATGTAAAACTACTGGGAAAAGTGACAAATAGTAATAAAAAATTTAAGTCGTTTTATTTTTTAGCAGCTTTGATTAATTCTGTCGTTTCATTTTGTGTATTATTGCGTCAATTTATGCTTGTTTATTTATGATTTATAACTTTTTTTACCTCTTGTAATGTAAAACTACTGGGAAAAGTGACAAATAGTAATAAAAAATTTAAGTCGTTTTATTTTTTAGCAGCTTTGATTAATTCTGTCGTTTCATTTTGTGTATTATTGCGTCAATTTATGCTTGTTTATTTATGATTTATAACTTTTTTTACCTCTTGTAATGTAAAACTACTGGGAAAAGTGACAAATAGTAATAAAAAATTTAAGTCGTTTTATTTTTTAGCAGCTTTGATTAATTCTGTCGTTTCATTTTGTGTATTATTGCGTCAATTTATGCTTGTTTATTTATGATTTATAACTTTTTTTACCTCTTGTAATGTAAAACTACTGGGAAAAGTGACAAATAGTAATAAAAAATTTAAGTCGTTTTATTTTTTAGCAGCTTTGATTAATTCTGTCGTTTCATTTTGTGTATTATTGCGTCAATTTATGCTTGTTTATTTATGATTTATAACTTTTTTTACCTCTTGTAATGTAAAACTACTGGGAAAAGTGACAAATAGTAATAAAAAATTTAAGTCGTTTTATTTTTTAGCAGCTTTGATTAATTCTGTCGTTTCATTTTGTGTATTATTGCGTCAATTTATGCTTGTTTATTTATGATTTATAACTTTTTTTACCTCTTGTAATGTAAAACTACTGGGAAAAGTGACAAATAGTAATAAAAAATTTAAGTCGTTTTATTTTTTAGCAGCTTTGATTAATTCTGTCGTTTCATTTTGTGTATTATTGCGTCAATTTATGCTTGTTTAT